GAAAGAGATTCACATCGAATGAGGAAGTCATCGCGGAAACCGAGGCGTATTTCGAAGGCTTGGACGTTTCGTACTACAGAAAGGGCATCGAAATGTTGGAAAATCGCCAAGTGTATCGCCCTCGAAGGGCAACTATGTTGAGGAATAAATATAACTTTGCACAAAAAACGCTTGTTTTCATTAAAAATCCCGGGACTTTTCAGCCCATGTAGTAGGTGGAAAGTTTAATTTTATTTTACGGATCAATCGCTCATGCCAGACTTTATTAAAAGCTTGGGATAGGAAAGTCCAGAAATACTGCTGTGCAGTATTTCCCTGATTCAAAGGATTTTTGTATGTTGCCGATAAGTTTATGCACTTGATTTAATGTGCTATGCTTCTTTCTGAAACCAAACTGGTAGTTTCCGGGATGAGCTTTTGAGTCTATTATAGTCTTGCTACGATCAGACGTTGCAGTACTTTAGACGTTATTGGCAATAGACTATACAATGAAAATTGATCTATATAATGAGGCATTTTCTAGGTTTCAAAATCATTATAATTTGGGCGATTTTCCATTGCGGAGGAATGCATTCGAGTTTTAATATGCAATTAAATAATTGCCCAAGTGATAGATAATATCCACAACAGGTAATTCCCTAAGTATTTGGGAAGTGATTAGATCGTATCCTGAGGCTTTTTTTAGCCCAACATTTTGTATAGCGTTCAGCACTTCTCTCTCCTATTGGTAGAGAAGTCAAAGAAGTTAAAAGCGTTAGACCAAATCAGGGTAGTATCACTGTCATTGTCTACCGTGGATGTTTTATTAACCGTCGACTTGGTATTGCAATTAGACACAAACGTGTCAGCTAAGTGGGTATTAAAAGTTTCTATTTTTTCCAAGTCACTTTTGGCCCGTTCATCATTCATTCTCCATATTGGTGGGGACGTCATCAGAGGTTGCTTGAGCCTCTCGGTCGCCATCTATTAGGAATACTCGAATGATTTTGTAGCATCAAGATTCATTAGATATGTCTGTTCTGTACTTTTTTATTTCTCTCACAATTGTTTTCATTTTTTTAATATTACTTTGAAAGCTCTATCCTGTTTCAGCTTATATGCATTCCGTGTTCTTCATTCGGAGTTCCTTGACTATAGCAGAGGGCAAGTTAATAAGTTCAAGGGCAAGTCAATAAGTTTTTAGAAAATCTGTCAAAGGGTACTCGCAATGTCATGTCACATTACTTTTTGACAAGTAGCATCTTTCAGCTGATTACTGTTAAATTTTGAGCGAAATTCATCGCGTGGTTTCATTTCTGTAGACGATTAAAACAAATAATCTGTGTACTTTTTGCAAAATGGAAAAAAACGAGTTCCGTGAGTAATCAAACATCTATATATGAAAGGTTTAACGTCGAAAGAAATCAAAGCTGAGTTGGATAATGTTCATAGCACATCTGCACCAACGTTTGCGACTGTATACAATTGAGTGAATGAATTTAAACATGTTCGTACATGTGATACACCTTGTTCGGAACGTCCAATTGAGGCTGCTACGCCAGAAATCATTGATAAAATCCACGATATTGTTTTGACTGATCGACGAGTGAAAGTGCGTGGGCTTGTTGAGGTTACAGGCATATCACATGGCACAGTGATTTTAATTTTGCACGAACAATTGGGTATGAAAAAGCTATCGGCAAGATAGGTGCCGCGTTTGCTCACTGTAGACCATAAGCGCGACCGTGTGACGATTTCAAAACAATGTTTGAAGATGTTTCAACGCAATCCAGATGAATTTCTGCATCGATTAATTACTGTGGACGAAACATGGATTACTTCACACCCGAGACGAAGAAACAGTCAAAACAATGGACTTCACCGAGTGAACCCGCTCCGAAAAAGGCGAAGACCATGAAATCGGCCGGAAAGGTGATGGCCACAGTTT